AAAAAAAAAAAAAAAAAAAAAAAAGATTTAATTTAAAAATTAGCAAAACACTACCTCCAAACTTTGTTGTGAATCATGTTCTTGAGTGTCAGGGCCTTCTGAGCAGTAGATACTGAACAGAAATTGCATTTTTTTTATTGCATCGCGCGTAAGTTCAGGCACTGAGTTCCTGAACTGTGTTGACAGCAGGATTTCTCCCATCTCAGATTTTGACAGGAAATTTAGACTGGCATTCCAAAACTAGTGCAGGGATGTGATAACTTCTTTGTCCCTTTTTTCTTCAAGATTAATAAATTGAAAAGGTTAGCGCAGTCCTTTAATCTTTTATATAAATAGCTATCTCTTAAAAATGTCATCTTTTTACTCGACTGATGTTATGCAGAGAATTACTGTAGAACCACCAGGGGGAGCTCAAGCCAAGCACCAAAGCATTTTTGGAATTATGTTGCGTTAAATGATATTAGGAATTAAATGTATTGTTTTGTGTTCAGAGAAACAAAAATTTAAATTAAAATTAAGAATACAGTGATTAAAATTGCTTAAAGTATTAATTCATTCACACCACCCAGCCATCCTTTGAATTGGTACAACCAAAGCACACAAATCATATCACTAAAGCCTGGAGATCTGGGATTCAAATTCAGGTAATCCAGTTCTTATCGTGTCATTCTGCCTCTCAAGGAGTTTCCAAGAGAAATGATAATTTGGGGATAGAACCAAAAGATAATGGTTTAACCCATGATGAATTAGGTTGATGCAAACTCAGGATCAAAGAATAGATTTTAGTAGAGAAATACTTTCTAGATCCCTCAAACCTCTAAGAATAAACCAGACTTGATTTTCTTAGGCAACATTGTTAAGAATGGGCTGGTCATTGGAAAGGAAAATGTGTAGCCCATGATCCTTAGTGTCAGGGACTAGTCGGAGATGTGAACTGTTGAAGCTCTAAGGTACAAATGAGTGGCAGCTTTCGCTCCATCTTTATCCTCTACTGTCATGTTAATGTAAATACACATCTCTTCCTACTAGATCACATGTTGCATAAAGTGCACTCTACTTTTGCTTAAGAAATTTGGATGTTTTCAAACTTTAGATCTGTATATTTGGGATATAATTTTTAAAGAGATAATAATTTATTGGCTATAGATGATTTGATTCAAACAACTGAAATGTTCTGGTGGTCACATTAAATTAGTGAAAATGCTAGCCACGGAATAAAATTGGAGGGACTAAAGAGATCTTAAAGACTTGCCAAATTTATAAATGCTACAACTGAAATGCAGATATTGGGCAGATGGCTAATTTTATTAGCTAAGTAACTAACTTCTGACAGCACCTCGCAGAGTGATTGAAATTTGTGCTAGGCACAAAAGACAATTCTTTTGTCCTATATTAGCCATCATATAATGACACCATTGAAACAGATACATGCCAGTTTTACAAGAAAATGTTTTGGGGTAAGAAGGGCCTGCTCCATATTTATACCATGCCAAAGACCACCTGACTGTCCCCAGGGGCCTGTTGGGCAGCCAGAATGTCCAAGACCAGGTTTGGGCTTGCTTACAAAGAGGAATTTATAATTTACATAGTTGAATACCAAAGGTCTTTTGTACCCATTTTAGAGTATGAAGGAAATACAATGTGATGTCAAATGAGACTCATTTGATAGAATAATAGTAAATATATCACAAAAGCCAACATTTAAAGAATATGTGTTCTGCTAAATGCTTTACGTATCTTATTGCATCTGTAAAAAGGAATGTTTTGAGGTCAATATTCTTATCCCTAGTTTCAAAAGAGGAAGCAGT